AGGTAAGGTTTTGAGCTAAATGTGGAAAAATGTTGCTGTTAATTTCAGCATGTTTCACTTTACAAACGGCGCCCCATACAGAATTGTCGTAAATGGTGAGTGGGTTCTGTACCTGAACTCGAGGAAATTGGTCTCCGTCTCCTCCCCATCATTAACCCCGTAGATTTAACGCGGTTTAGACTGACAAATATTTATTTTACCATCACAGCAAAATTCAAAACCAGTGTGTTTAATTTGCAATTAATGCATGGCCGTGTGTAACTTTTGCATGTCTGGCCCAGGGAATTTTTTTTTTTTTGGTTAGAAAATCTGGCCAACCTTAGTGTGTGATTGAGTAGTAGTCATTTTTCTCCTGTCATTTATGTCAGTAGATCACATAAAATACTTTGATCTTATATTATTAGCTGTTGTTTATTTGAAAATGTCAGTTATTCTTAACATTGACGCTAAACATTGCTTATTAGAACTTATTAGAACAAAACAAATTTACCACGCGCGGGACTAATAAAGGTTATCTTATTTTATGCCGAGTTTTTAGAAAAGTGTTTTAATAAATAGTTTTTATATTTTTTTATTGTCTGAAAACTATGAGGGTTTAAGTGTTAATATTTATTACTGATCAGTAGGAACAACTTAAAGTCAAATGCAATTCATGAATGGATGTACCTTTGAAAGCATATTTGAAGAATACCAGATGAAAAAGAGGATCACAAATGAACAGCCTTCCATATCACAGTTTATGGACAATTGTGCTGGACAGCACAGCAAGACTCATCCACAGCAGAAAGCTATCACAAATGCATGATTAAGTGACTTGAATATTGGTTGCAAACTGCCCCTGTCTATTGTGGAAAACAAGAATTTTCGACACTTTCTGCCAGTAGTTGACAGAAAATACAGAGTCGGGTAGTATGTCGCAGAACAATTATATCAAAAACAGAGAATGGTCTGGTCAGGAGTCTCCAAGCATCTTTCTTGGAATTTTTATCAGTGTGCAAATGGCTAGAGCAGAAGATGGGATCACTGCTCCCTTTTCACATCCAGTGTACCTTAAAGCAGCTGCTTTGGATCCAGCATTTTCTCTGTTGTGGGTGGAACACTATGTGTTGGGAAGTTGTGACATAGAGACAGAAGTGACACTAAAAGTTAAAGGTAAAGACTGAATATAGTGTATATTTTTTCTGTATTTTTTTTTTTTGTCTAAAATTGTAATAAAGGCTCTTTTGCTGTTGTTAATTTGTTTTGCCAGATCTGATCCTGCAAGATGCAGCGGATCCTGCAAAGTCAGAGCAACCTGTGACTCCTGGTGAGGAACATCAAGAAGACTGTGAATATGGTAGTGATGTGTCGGTCGCAAACGAAATGGCTCTTAGAGCTGGGTCTTTGGCGTGAACCACGCGAGCTGGCTCATTATCGCGAGCCGTGGTTTTTTTTTTTTCCTTCTCTCACCCTCTCTCTTGCACTTTTTTCCCGCTTCACTACGCATGCAAGCCTTGTGCTTTGCGTGGGGAAGAGGGGTGAGGGCCTGTAGTTACACTGGCAGTAGCACAGGAACCCGGTCGTTAAGTCTGACATCACTAGGACCTAAACTCCGCTGCAGGTCCATATATCAAACGATCACTATGGCATTACTGAGA